CCTGCCAGATCTCCCATTTCTCACATCCATCTTCACCACCATGTTAGTCATCTCTCTTTTGCTTTGGCAGTGACTGCTTTTGTTCCTCCCACTACACTTTTATATGACTGTGATTTACGACCCTGAGTTTAAAGATTTATTGCAATGCACACATGGCATGGCAGACTCTAAGTGATGTGTCCAGCCTGGTTATTATTCTATTAAATCCCATCTTTTTCCATAGTGAAACAAATGGCTTCTGCATCACATTGTCAAGACTTTTGTCCTCTAACTTCTTAGGTTTATTCAGATGAGAATATAATCAGGGAAGAAAAGTCACAACTTAAAGAGATTGGCTTGCACCTATGAACCTCATAAGTAATATAAGCAACTGGGAGCTTAACCAAGGACCAGATGGTCTTCAGGCAACTAATTTCAGGCTGAGGATTCAAGTCTATATCAGCGCTTGCTTATTCCACTTTACAGACATGGTTAAAAATCCTATGGCAATTTAAGCTCCTTCCTCCCTGTGAGAAAAGCAGCACAGACAGCAACCATCTATCATCTCCTCTCCCTTTCTTTTGTATGTTTTCAGACAGTGTTTTAGCCATCTAAGATGAGCAAGGGCCTTAGGTCATCTTAAAGAGCTTAAACTGATCTAAGGCTTTAATGTGCTTAAGGGTGGTGTAAGGACATTGATTATATTTAACCCTAAAAAGAACACAAAACACCATGTGTCTAAGACCCACAGAAGTTTGTTGTTTGGTATGGATTTCTTTTCTTCGTGTGCATCCTCTCGATGTACAGAGCAAGTCAAGGTCCCCTAAAGTCACTGAAAAGTCTTCAATTAGCTCAAAGGAGCATTGCTGTTGGCATCAGCTGCAGCAGGCTCAGCCTGCTGTTGTGGACATCCTTAGAGCCGAGTTCATAATTTTCTGTACTGAACTTGTGGTGTCACAGCTGACCTGGAAAACATTAAAACACAGCCATAAGCACTAGTTTCACCTGTTGTGAAAACCCGAAATCTATGGCCCCCTATCAAAGTGCACCTTTCAAGCTGTAGTTCTTTTTAATTATTATCCAATGAAAGAAATACCAGTGAATATTTTTTTAAAAATAGATAATTTTGTCATTTAAATAAGGATTTAAATTTCTCATTTAAAATAAGCAATTCCCTCTTTCTTTTAAGGTTTTCTCTTTTAAGTAAGCAATTCTTGTCATAAGTTAATTTTCTCATGACTCACCATAATACCCAATAGGATTTCCTCCAAATTTATAAATGGGTCACCTTGGGTCAAAGGCTGGAGGTACAACATTCCCACCCTTGAAAATGCCAAGAAATGCTGTGGATGCATAGAAAAACAGGTGAGGTTGGAGGGAATGTTTGTCATGCTAGTCAGGTCTGGCGTCTAAGGAAGTTAAGACGGTAACCTGTGCTGCCAAATTTGAAGATTCCTTGCCCCAGGATTTTATTTCATCTTAGGCTTGTCCTAGAGTCTATGAAGCATCCAAGATGTCATTTTGCTTTGAATTGCTTGCCAAGGTCTACATTCACGCCTGACAGTGTTGCTATCAGCATCGATGGGAGCAGACCAGCACCAAATAACCTTGCTCCTGTTGTGCTGCAGTTTGTGTGTGTATGTAGCTATGTGTGTGAAACCAATGATCCACCTTCTCACTAGGGCTGGCCCAAATTTTTTCTGTCACAAGCATAAAAGCCACTGTCCGAGGCTGCTGTGTGGTAGTAAAGGCAGCAGAGAACAGCTGTGTGCTTGAGTGCTGTTTACTTTACACTGAAGCTGCTCAGGCTCAGATGCTGGAGGTTACTGCCTTGCAAAGTGCAGCTTGCACGTGGGGTTTTAACCCTAAGCACGGGCACGGACGTGCGGGCACTCATCTGTTGGGCTCAGACCTGGGCAGCCAAGCAACAGGCACGCTTCTGCCGTTCTTACAGGAAAGCATCAATAGTGCTGATTTGTAATTGAAAAGGAAGATTGTATTGCATGACTCAGAAATAATGTTGGGAAATAGATCCCATATTACAGTATTTAAGCAGAAGAAAACCAGGTTACAAGTGAAAGAGCTTGGAAAGCAAACATGAATCCTTTATTTATGCTCATTATAATGTAGTATAATTGCACAGTGCCCATATTAAGGGCCAGCAGTGAGTGTGGCCAAGTGCAGCCGTACCATATGTGAGCAATCCCGACATCATTTGTAAGGACCGAAGTGGTAAAAATATAGATTTAAATATTACTTCAAAAGTCCTATGACTTTATTCTGAAATAAAATATCTCGTATAGAAGTTGATTTTTAATTTCTTTCCTAAATTTCCAAAATTTCTACAGGAGCCTTTATAAAAAAGTTGGAACTTGTACATCTCTGATATAAGGGTTTGTGGTTTTGTTGCATGGAATGATTGGGTGTATATGTAGCATGTGTAGCCATTTCAAACGCACATCAGCCATGTCTACTCATTAGCCATTTTCTGATATGAACCCTTGGCAGAGCTGTGGAGCATGCCCAGGTAATGAGAGATTGCCACTGTGCAGCTACAACAAAGGCCTAAATTGATGTTTCATCAGCAGTCTTAATTCTGGCATTTCTGTGTGCTTCATTTTAAAACTCTATTAATGTTCCTGTAATCTAGTTGTATGTAATTAAACATTGAATACAGCTGTACAGAGGCACACAGCTGCAGCATGCCCTGATATATGCAGCCACTCGAGAGAGAACTTTTCATGTAAGATTTTCATTTTAAAAAAATACCTGTTCTTCAGATAGCTACAATAGCTCTGCAGGAGCTTGTCAGTCAAGCAAGATTAGAGACTCCCTAAATTCAGCCTGACATGACAGGCTGTAATGACTCTGAAGGGGCTGTTATGGTCTATTGTGCCAGTGGTCCCTGCCTAATAGGATCATCTCGTACACTTCTCATTAAAACTACAATGACTCTAGAGATTTCTATATTGCCAGTTACTTCAAATACAAGTTATTTTACCACCAAAAAAAAAAAAAAAAAAAAAGCAGCACATTCATGTGATGCTAAAGGTGCAGGTTAAATACAGAAAAGAGAACTTAGATTTACAGGCTGACATGTACCTTTACCTTACGCAATTTTGATGCTGAGAAATTGCAGAATTGGCAGGGATTTGAGCAATTTTAAGTACAATTTTTCCCCACTGAAAGCAGGAGTGGACAAGTGGGTGATGCTGTCCGTGGAGTGAGATTTTCACTTGATGCTGTAGGCACCAATGCGACTTCATAAATAATAGTGGTGGATGGTTTTGGTATGCCATAGCTCCAAGATAAGTTACGGCGCTTGTCTTCTGGATGGATGAAGCTCTTTGCCCCCTGTCATGTTGGAGGTTAGGGCAGATGATCACACTTGCCCTTTCTGGCCTCAAACTCTCTCCATCTTCTCCTGAAGACAGGAGCTTATGTTTGGTAACCCCACTCAGCAAACCCAAATCACAGTGTGGCATTTCTGATACCGAGTGATTTACATGTGAAAAAGAGAGAAAATATCTCAAAGGGAAAGTTGGGTTTGGGTGTCAGCTGCATCTTTTTAGGTCAGTCACATCTTTCATTTCCCAGATATGTAGTGGCACGGAGGGTCTGCCTGGGGACTCCTGGTGACACTACCATGGAGCAGTGAAGGAAGTCCGGAGGGTAGTGAAAGCAAGGGAGTAAGTCAGGAAGAGAAGAAAAGCCGTTTGAACTGCTCGCTGTGACAGCACGTAAGCACCCACTGTAGGAAATCCCAAGCTGTTTGGGCTGCCTGTGTGGCTGGACAGCCAGCAAAGCATCAAATTAGAGGGGTGCAGTAGTAAATTGCAGGAGCTGGCACACGCAAAGCCAAGCGGCTCTGCCCAGCAGAGGGTAGCATTGCCCAAACACCCCAGCCTGTTTTCCAAGCTTACACCTTCACGCACCTCTGAACTCCCACCTATGCCACATCCTCTTCCAGCTGGGGAGACACAGTTCAGCCCAGACCCAGGGAAAGCCTCACAGGCTGATACCTTGTAAATTCTGCTCATAAATTATGAGAAATCTGAAAAATCGGCTTTTGAAAGCAGAATTTTAAGAAATCTGTTGAAGGACACAGTATATGCTAAACAGGTATGTGCATACAATCCCATCTGTTCTTAAATAATTGTTATTTAGCTGCCTGTGTTAGGATTTATTTCTGGGTACTTATTTTGATGATCAGGTTTGGAGCTGTCCCTGGGGCATGGGAGTGCCTGTACCTGCCAGCAGCGAGGCCTCTGATTTAGTCACCTAACTTATGTGTCCCAACAGAATTGCACTTTCTTAGTGTTTTACACATACTGCAACTAAAGCCCAGAGATATTAACTATAAATGTATCTCAGTTAGCCTAGACTATAATTTACTCTGACGCCTCTGACGGATCCTGCCCGTCGCCCCGCAGCAGCGCTCAGCTGATGCCCGATGTGACGACACTAGAGGTCTCAGCATTGCCGAAAAAACCCTGCTTTTAGCAATAATCTCAGCGGGGCCACGTGTGTGTGTGTGCCAGGCCGGTGCTGTGCTGGCAGGATGGGCACGGTGCCGGGGCTTGGGCTTCTCGCCGAGGCTGCGCCGTGCCCATCCACCTGCCTCTGGGCTTGGTGCTGCGCCGGGGGGTGACCCTGGTGTTTGGGTGCCCCTTGCTGCCCTGGGTGCAGCGAGGGCTGTGCTGGGTGAGGGTGGTCCTTGCCAAGAGGCCAGTTTTGGCATCCCAGGACTCTGTGTGTGTGTGTGCCCGAGGCAGGTGGGCACCTCCACCCCCGCGCATCCCAGCACATCCCAGTGCATCCCAGCACAGCCCGGTGCAGCACCTAGCCAGGCAGCCCAGAGGTGTGGTGTGGCTTTTTAATTTTTTTTTTTTTTTTTTCCCTACTTTCCCTTTTTTTTTTTTTTTTTTTTTTTTTTTTTTTTCCTCTTTGCTTTCCCTCCCCTCCCGTTTGACGTGCGCGGTTTTGGTGCAATGCGAATTATCTCCAGTCATTCAGTCAGGAGGGGCAGCGCCAGGCAACAGAGCAGCGGCGGGGCTGCCTCCTCCTTCTCCCTCCTCTTCCTCCTCCTCCTCCTCCTCCCATTGCCATAACAACCGCGCACAGCCGCTGTGCCCGCGGTGCCGGCGGGGCCGCACCGCACCGCTCCGCACCGCACCGCGCCCGGGAGGCTGAGCATCCCACGGGCCCCCGCACGCCTTGCACGGGTGGGGTTGTGTGTGTGTGTGGGGGGACGGAACGGGAGGGAAGAGAAACAGTGACCTCCTTCGAAAAAAAAAAAAAAAAAAGAAAAAAAAAAAAAAAAGGAAAAAGGGACTTTTTCGCGGTGTGGGTCTATCAGGGACCAAAGTGACCCCAAGACGCGGGTGAGCACAGCTGCTGCGCGGGGCGCAGAAGGAGGGAGGAGGGACGGGGCAGCCCCGCGAGTGACTCCGCGGGGGGGCGCGGAGGAGGCGAAAGGAGGGAAGAAGGAGGGGGGGGGGGGGGGGGGGGCGGCAGAGAAAGTTGGGAGGAAATAGCCCAGGAAAAGTGACACTCGCGGAGCCCGCCGGAGCGCGGAGGAAATAAAAGCGGCGACGGGCAGGAAGTGTGAGGAGGAGGAGGAAGGGGAGAAGGAGGAGGAGAAGGAGGAAGAAGAAGAAGAAGAAGAAGAAGAAACAGCAGCAGCTGCCGCCGCCGCCGCGGCAGAAGAGAAAGCAAAAGCCGCCCGGTGCGGCATCCGCGGGGCTGCGCGGGGCTGCGCGCCGCGGCCATGGCCCGGGAGAACGGGGACGGTGGCGGATCCTGGAAGAAGCAAGCGGAGGACATCAAGAAGATCTTCGAGTTCAAGGAGACGCTGGGGACGTAGGTGGCGGGGAGCGGCTGGGGTGGGGGTGGGGGTGTCCCTTCTCCACGGGGATGCGCGGGTCGCCCCGCGAGTGAGTGCGTGTGTGCGTGTGTGTATTTTCGCGTGTGCTGCTCCGCGCCCCGCTCATCCATCCGATCAAGAAGTCGGGGCGATCTGGAAACACGGAGAAAAATACAACTGTGGGGCAGGAGCTGGGCTGACACCCCCTCCACACCCCCCAAAAAAAGAGCAAAAAAGGGGGAAAAAAAAATGTTTTAAAATATTCATAGAATGAGCAGACTGGGAAAGGGCTTTTCTTGATAGTGCAACTGTAAATAAATGCGGTCTGACTTGCACGCTTCCCCTAAAGGCGATGGCTGTGTCTGTTCGTGGACAGACGAGCAGAAATAATCGGAGTGGATTGGATGTGTTTCAGCTACGATGCTTAACTGTTGTTGGGGTTTATTTCTGTTATTTATAGTGGCGAGGCATAAAGATTAGTAAAACGTTAGAGTCTTTTTTTTTTTTTTTTTTTTTCAGAAGGCTGAGAATAAACATGCGCAGATGGTGCAAGGGAGCGGGGTGCAGGCTGATGCTTTTTTGGCTGAGCAGAGAGTTTTATTTTTGTTAAAACAAATTTTTGCTTATAGGATATTGTAGAGGTAGAGAGCTGGGAGTGCTGAAGGAAGTCAGCATATGTGCTGCTGTATGTGTACACACTGAAATGAAAGTTTAGTTGCATTGGGAATGCTCTTTGTTGCTGTGTCCCCCCTGCCTTAATTGCAACTTTAAGCATGTCTCAAAACGAAGCGACATTAATCCCAAGTAGTGCTTTTCATACTCAGCGTGCCACTTCTAAAATACGGTTGAACAAGTTTTGACTGTAACATTTCAGTTTCTTTCTGCTTCCAAGGGAGGGCTCTCTATAAACAGAGTATTTCTGGTTCACGGGCTCCCTGGTTTCCTATGAACAAACTGCGAGTAAGAATCAGGCTGGTCATTTAATATGGAGGTGGGTCATGCAACTCTGTTGTGATGAGCAGATAGCATAGCCCTCAGAAAACCACTGACTTTGCAAATCAAATTAATGTCTGCCCAGGTCTATTAAGAAGCGAAGTGCAGTGTAAGAGCTAAGTATTATGGTGTATTCTCACCACCTTCATTGAGGTTTTGCTGCCAGAATTTCATGCCAGGAGAGACGTGTCCCTGTTTGTCACCTGCGTTGTGCAGCTCCCTTCCTGAGTGAAGGGGTGTTGGGGAGGAAAGTCTTAATGTGAAGAGATTCGCTAGAGCAGGACAGTTTGCTGTGGTTCCCATTATACAATTGTCATCTTCCTGGTTGTTGTGTATGAAACCATCTGCAAGGATTAGCTTGTACCACCGGAGAGGTCCAGAAAGAATTAATGTTGTGGCCTTGATCTGTACCCCACTGAAGTTAATGGGAGCAGGTGTAGGTCCCAAGGAAGGAGAAGTTGGTCACAGTTAATAGTTATGCATATTAGCATGGCTGTGTCAAATTAAATTCATTAAATATGGCTAATTAGTGTCTCAAACTATTAACCACTGTCTGAGCCTCACAGTTTGGTTAATAAGTCCTTTCTGATAAGAGTGGGAGCTGTGAAGTTTTTTAATTTGACTTAATAGTCAATCTAGAAAGTTTTAGAAAATTAAAAGAACTGCATTACAAACCTGGGCCTGTATAAAGAAAAATAGAGCTGTTTTCTTTTCCAGACATAGTCACATTAATTATGAATGTATGTGCATTTTACAGCCTACACATCAGTTGCCTTCTGGTTGTGCATTCCATAGCTTCTGAGAGCAGGCTGATAATTAGAAGATCTGAGTTTTGGTTCTGTCCTTGGCCACCCACCAGCACAGCACCTGCAGCTCCTACCAGCTCTGGTGTGACTTACTAGCGTGTGAAACTTCTAAAAAATTTGGGCCATCACTGTGCAAGTCATTAAAGTACCTGTTTCAGTCTCACTGAAGGCAATGAAGTTCACTGACTTGAGCAGCAGATATACAGAGTGCAGGCGTCCAAATGATGGGGCACAGTTATTGATAGGAAACTACTTAAATAGGAATTAAGCAAAAGTCTAAATACCTTTAAAGCATCTGGACCAAAATGTTTTCCTCTGGCATTATTTAGAAGCGGGGAGAAAATCTGCTTTGATCCCTCATGCACTGTAATGCTGAACTTTGTTGGACATCCATCGGTTGATCTCACCATCTAATAGATTTTTCTCTAGCGTGGATGGGCTTGGAGTGAAGAACACAGTGTGTCAGATTAGATGCACTGGGTTAGTGTAGTAGCTGTATTTTGCATTTCTCTGCTACCTTCCATTTCAGGATGCCAAAGTGCTAAAAGCACTTTTAATAGAAAAGCAGCCCCTTTTCATGCAGCAATCTTAATTGCCTGTGGTAAAATCGGTTAGAGAAAGAAAAGCACTAACCCCCCCAGATCAGCAAAGAAAGTGAAAGAGAAACTTTAAAAACATATTTTATTTCTAGTGCATTGATTTGTGAATGTTAAATCTGTGTATCTACTCTAGTAATGATTTGTTCTTTGAAAGGAGTCTTTCATCTGAAGTAAAGCTTTTCAGCAGATCTTTAACATGGGAGAGTTGAAATTGCTGGAATTATTAAAAGGATCCTAACTCGGTTAATCATTATATCATCTGGGTTTCAAGGAACCTCTAATGATTACCCAGTATTCTCTTCCAGAGCTGGAATTAATTATTTACGTGTCCCTGTAAATCATGTCCAGCCACGCTGATACTGAAATAGGCATCCTGAATTGGTCATCACCTCCAGATGCAAGAAAGTAGCCTTTTCCACCCAAAGAATTGTTTCCTTTGGTGGCTGAGGTCCCTGTTGTGTGCTCTGCTCAGTGCTGTTGGGCAATAGTGTTTTCCTAAAGAAGAGTGGTACCCATACTTGTATTTACCCTGTTCTGTATTTACGCAGTCCCTACGCAGGTACAATCTTAGTCTGTGGCTGTAACCTCTTGGGTACCAGCATTTCAGCAGAATATTTTGGTAACATTAATCAAGAAAGTATGTTATAAATAAACTATAAATACATAAAATACATTTTAAAATTGGTTTTATGTATGATAATATGCACTATTATACATAAAAGATGTATAATGGTCTTGATCCATTCTTTGGCTGCTTCTGTTTGGCAGTGCCAGTCCAGGTAGGACTGCAGTAACAGCGGAGTGAACAATACTTGGTGTGCACAGGTTCAGTGGGGCCCTCTTCTTGAAACTGGACCTGTTCACTACTAAGGCATTGAAAGTGAAATTACAGATCCTGAAAAAGTAGCTAGGGAAAAATACACAAAGTAAATCAAGGATAAAACAAAATCCTAGCAGTGGGCCAGATCCTCAGCTGATGCAATTTAGAGTCCCTTCCATGCCAAGACAGGTAGGCTTGAGGAAAGAAGAGGATCTGACTAACTGCTTATCTTTTTAAATTTCCGCAAATTCAACTACTGTAGCTTTACTCAATTTGTAGGCCTGCTTGGAGAGGGGGATTTCTATCCTGGCCCTTAAGAGATGTGATGTTTCACAATAGCAGAAATTTGATAAGAGGATGAGAGATCACTGAAATATAATTTTTTCTCCATATTTATATGATACTATGTTTAAGGAATTTTAAGACTCATATTTTGACATTCCTAGAAGTAATAAGATACACCACATCATCCACTAGCCAAAGAGGAAAGCCTTCAATCGTTTGGTCTGCCTAATTGGATCAGCCCTGCATTTCTAAGGTATCTGTCGTTAGGCATTATTGACATCAGAGTTAAGATGATGTTGGAATATTTAGAAAGGCTCAAGCTTAGTAACTATGGAAATATTGTTGCTGTCCTTATGAATGATGCGGTAGATTCCTTAAAGCTTAGTAATGGTAACACAGGGAGTTGCATGGATATAGCCACAACATAGTAAGAGCAGGGTGGGAAGACACATTTCAATGATGCGTCCAGTACTTTCCTAAAATACAGTATAGAGAAAACTTATAACCAGTTCTGGTTTTCTCAGGGGCTCTACCGTAATTTTTGGTTCATCTGTGTTCCATGTCTCTTCCATACTCTTACGCCATTCTGTGAGCTCCTGGCACTCTTCATGACTCTTCTACACATCCATACGTGCTCGTTCATGCTGTGAGAGGAAGTCACTCCAAGTCCTGTTCTCACATCTGTTTTCTTTCTCACACACACACACACATATTGTCACAAACTCTTACGTGTTGTCTCCTGTGTTTTTGTCCTCTCACATTCTTCGTGGTATCTTCCCCTGCATGCTGTCTCACACTGACACTCATGCTTTTCATGAGCTGGTCCACTTCGTGCTCTCATCTGTTCTTGGTTGATCAGTCCTTCAGTGGGGGACAAGACTAACGGAGGTGATGTGCCTCAGGACAAGCAGACAAGCTTGACTTTCACTGGTGAGAAGATGCTGGTGGTGACAGGTCCTGGGGGAGGTGTCCCATGCATCTGAGTTACCGTGTAGAGAGGAGGTGCTGGGGGGTACCAGTAGGCTCAAGATCTGTTTGTCTCTGGTCAAAGAGCTTCCCTTCTCACCAACTGGGTGCCAAAACCACTTGTGTTGGATTCAGCACAACAAACCATCACTGTTTAGCCATTTAACTTGAGACATCATGCAAGTTACTCAATTGTTTTTCCCTTCTGACTTTGGAAATTCCCAAGATGTAAAGAAACATGTTGATATTTGTGCTTCCTCTGGCTCCATACCCCCTGTGAAGATTGAAGAGTTTGTCTGATTTTCATGTTTCAGCTGACATTATCAGCAATTTCTGTCTCTCTCTTATGACACTCCAGTGAGGCAGTGGTGGCTCTGTTAGATTGTTTCATCTTTTTCTCAGTTCAGTACTTTCCTTTTTTTTTTTTTTTTTTTTTTTTTTAAACACATTAAAGAAACTTTTCACGTTAATAAAATAGCTTCAGGGAAGAAAATACAGTGTCCTAAGGGCAGAAGTTAAGACACATT